CTGCTGCCCGCGCGAGGTGTGAGACGCTGGCCACCGGCCCGGGCTGCTGCGCGCGACACCTTCGCCCCGCGAGAGTTTCCCTGTGGCGCTTGGGGAAGCCGCAGTGACTCGTAATCTTGAGCCACGTCCAAGGTGACAGCAGTATTATCTGTGGGTAACTTGACGAAACCTTTGCCCAGGCGTGATTTCCTGCACTTCCCTGCTCGAGTGACAACCACAAACTGAAATATTTTTAAAGTGCTCTGAAGTAAAAGTTACTGTTTTGTCGGCTTTAAATAAGATGTTTGTTACCCGTGCCTTTAATTTGCAGAAGTAGCACTGGATTACAAATTAACTGTATTCTCCAATGTTTTTCTTCTGGAAGAAATATTAAAATAGTACGAATATGTTTGTAATAAATCGAGTAAGATCGTTCTCTGTGCCCTGAAATTCAGTTAGAGATAATTAGTTTCATGGACGCGTACTTAGGTGTCAATGCTATTTTCTTGTGCAATGTTGCTGAGGTGAAATTTCTCTCACCCGACCTGAACCCTGTTTATTTGTTTATTCTTGCCATTTCAGTACAACAGCTTTAAACTATGAAACATTTGTTTTGTTCATCAGAAATGTCCAGTTCATTTGACTAAGCAACCTCCTGAAACCGGTAGCAATTTAATAAGAATTATAGTAACATCTTTATTCCCCAAGAGATGTTTTCACTTTCTCTTGGTGTTGGTGAAGTTTTGTATTTTTAACCTTAAACTCTGTTCTCTTATCAGCTTTTTGAAGTCCTGACTGTCAGGTAATGCTTGAACTCAGGAAAGCTGCTCCACAAATTCAGTCTGCAAGACATAAAGGCAATAGGTAGAAAGAGCCATGTCCTTGTGTGAGGCAGCACCTTTCACTGGATTTCCTTCCCTTCTCGCTCTTTTCCCCAGCCGGCTACCTGGGATTGAACCCAGGAATTTGGCACAGAGCTACATCCTTTTTTTTTTTTTGAGACAGGGTCTCACTATGTAGTTCAGGCTAGCCTTGAACTCACTATGTAGCCCAGGTGGGCCTTGAATTCGCCGTGATGCTCCTGCCCCTCCTGCCTCAGCCTCCCAAGTGCTGGGACTACAGGTGTGTACCACCACACCTGGCTGTTACAGCCTTTTAACTGGCCTGCCAGCTGACAGTATCCTTTTTGTGAGGATTACGTGGGATAATGTGTATAAAATGCTTACTAAAGTCCCTGGCTCAGTAATGCTATCTATTTTATTTGTGCCTTTATTACTTTTAAGTCAGAAGATTTAATTAAGTGACCTTAATTTTATTGGTCTAATGATGTTAAAGAGTTAATTTTCTAAAGATGTTTCTAATAGAAAATTGGAATCTAGAACATAGTTATAGAGGTATCTTTTGAAAGGGAGAGTGATCCTCTAGGCCTTCAGGAGTTTGGAAAGGCATAAAGTAGTTCTTAACATTGTATGTTCAGATAAGCCTATCCAAGGGAGTCCTGTTTTTCCTGTTTAGACTATGTTAATGTATCCTCAGGTGATTGAACCCACTCCTGCTCTCCCTTTGTCTCAGGAAATTAAAGTCCCATGAGAACATAAGGCCCTCTAATACTACCAATGTGGTTTAGGGTAAGGCTAATAGAAATCCAGTGTGCTCTGTTGAATGCTAGAGACGTTTCAAAGAATGCATTAGATATAATATGTTTCAAAGATCAACAATCTATGAAGATAAAATGGAGCCCAGAGATTCTTTTAACTTTCTACAGAAAACCCACTTTAAAACCTAGCATGGTGGTATATGCCTATAATTTCAGGCACTCTGGAAGGCTGAGACAGGAAGGTCACCAATCTGAGCCCATCCTGAGCAATTCAGCTCAGTGGGAAGGTCCTGAACTCAATTCCAGTACTGCAAAATAACCACTTTCAAGAAGAGTCACTTGACCCATCATGAGGGCTAAATTTCAGAGCCTTGGGACTTATTCATCATAACAACAGCTCACAATGCTGAATACTTCCTCTTTAATCTACAAGGCAGGGTTATGGTCAGTGTTGATGTATGTCTCATAGGATTTGAACCCTACCTCTATAATTTCTCTCGGAAGGCCCCTTTCCATAACTTTTGTAATTGCTTAAAGTGAGAAATGGGTATGGTAGGCCAAGAAGGATAGGATGGTCTGGAGTCAAGCAGTAATAGTGCATATGGCAGAGAAGTGCAGTGAGATGCATTTTGAAAATGAAATCAGCAGTGTAGGTACCAGCCTATGAGTTTATCCCAGCCCAGGAAGCGGGAGACTGGGGGCAACAAGGATGAAATATAAAAGACACAAAGATAATTTAGAATGCCTCTAGTAGACAAAGGGCCCTGAGCGTTTGGCTCGTCTTGCTTTTAAACATGGGAACAACCAATTAGGTTAATGGAAGATTCATCTGCCTCTCATCATCTATAGTGTGTGCCCAGGTAAACATCCAGATCTCAGCTGTATTGACTCTTCTCTGGAACTTGCAATGTGCCAGGATGCCTGCACACTGCCAAAGGAGGAACACCTTGCTGTTTTCTCTTCTTTGCTCATAAAGTCAATTAGGCCTCAATCCTCATTATCTGAGGATAATTTAATAAGAGGTGATCTAATAAAAGAAATAAAGTTCTAAATTTCTTCCTATAAGCAAGATCAGGATGTAAATGTAGGATCTTAGACCCCATCTTCATATTATACTTAGTATGAAATTAGGAGAAAAATGCAAGAATTAAGGTGTGCACTCAAAGTCTGAATCGCTGTAAGAAGTAAATATAAAACCTGTGATAGGGATGGGGACTTAGCTCAGTGTCAGCTGCTGCCTGCCTCGATAGTGCAAGATCCTGAGTTCAATCCCCAATACCAAAAAAAATTTTAAAAACCTGTGATAACCTCATTAGAAAGGGAGTTATATCTCCAGCTCTTTTAAAATTTTTGTTTAACACTGTGTCTTGCTGTGCAATTCAGGCTGGCCTTGACCTCACTATGTAGCCCAAGCTGACCTTGAACTCAAAATGGTCCTTATGCCTCAGCCTCCCCAGTACTGGGATTATAGAAATGTGCCACCATGCCTAGCTTTTTTTTTTTTTTTTTGAGAAGTCATTGGTTGCCCCTGGGCTCAAACTTGGGGTCCTCCTGCCTTAGTCTCCCAGATTGCTGGAATAAGAAGTATGCACAACCATACCTATTTTTAAAATTATATGTAAACAGTTTTGTTTTTGGGTAGCTTGCTCCTAAAAAGTGGCTCGCCAACTAAACATTACCAGGTTTAGAGTTACTCGTATCCTTCCAGAGTTGGGTTCCAGGTTCTTCTCATCTCAAACAAAGAATTGAATGAAATGAGCAAAAAGCAATGGCAAAGTTTACTCAAGAAAGTAAAAGTGAAGAGTGGGAGAGAAACTGGCTCGGCAAAGCAAACTTGGGCCAAATAATAGAAAAAGAAGGTAAGAGTAAAGATAAAAGTACATGCTGCATCTGGGAAATACAGCACGGGCTATTGTGGAAGGCTACAATAGCATCAGCTCCTCATAGCTGCCTTTCTTTTATACTGTCCAAATCTTGAGGAAACCCGTGAAAACGTCTACATCTGGATCCAGTGCTGGGATCCCACACCTCAGGCTGATGCCATGTCTAGGCCATTCTATTTTTGTTTTCTTTGCTTTTTTGAGACCGGGTCTTGTCATGTAGTTCAGGCTGTACTTGAGCTGACTGTGTAGTCAGTTCATACATAGCGAACTCACAGTAATCCTGCCTTGAGTGCTAAGATTACAGGCGTGTACCATCATGCCTGGCAAGGCCATCCTATCGGAAACATGCTTGAGTCTCAGGTGAAATCCCCATGCAGTAGTTTGGGAACTGTTCTGCACCTGTGTCTGAGATCTTGTACTTCACAGGTCACACCTACTTCCCTAGCGAGCATTTGCCATGCCCTAATCTCCTAACTCAGTATCATAAC